AAAAGTTTCAATAAAAATCGAAAATTTGAATTCAAAAAATGCGAGAAGGAAAACAGAGGAGATTGAATGATGGTAAGCGGATTTGCGGATGGAATGTGTACGGTTTCACACGTTTTCGAAACTTCCTCGATCTTGAAAGGATCACGAATCACTGAACATTCTGAATTCATATATCCGCAATTTCTTGTAGATTTAGCTAACATCATCATAACCTCCTACCTCTTCCGAATTCTCGATTCTAGAAAAAAGAAACGTTCGATATGACATTACTGTTGAAAGAGAGAGGGATTACGCAACAGGATTTCTACAGAGAAACCGAGAGAAAATGAGAAAAAAGCTACACTGATGATGCGCGAAAAATGGGGAAAAAGACAGAAAGATGACAGAAGATGAGAAAAAAGGATGGGACCACAATTACCCGCCGATGCCCAAGTTTTGTTTCTTTTTTGTCATGGATAGCAAGAGAAGATGGGGGAAATGAGAATTGAGAGGAGAAAGAGAAATAAAACATTCACTGAAAAAAACTGGAGGAATCTCAAAATCCCGTTTTAGAACTTTCAAAATCTTGAAATTTCAGATTTTTGGAATATCTGAATGTCAGTTAATTTTTTTTTGGAATCCTGGAATCCTGGAATCTTTGAATTACCCTCTTTCAGAAACTCAGAATCTCAGAATCGCAGAATCTCAGAATCTCAAAATCTCAGAATCTGAAACTCTCAAAATCACAGAATCTCAGAATCTCAAAATTTCAGAATCTCAAAATGTGGCGTCGTGAAAATTGAAAATTTTCACGAGAAACTCTTCTGAAAAACTCGAAAAATCAGAATTTCAGAATTTTCAAAAGCTAATTTAACCACTGCAATCACGGGTCAACGATTTGAAATTTCCAAGAAAACCGGGTTTTTGTATTTTCCTCAAACGCATAATAGTTATGACCTTTATACTTTTTCACCTCAAAAAATTCCAAAACCATGAGGATGCATCTTTTTCAAAAATCTGGGTCAAAATATCCATTATCAAAATTAAGAACCGTCACCCAAAATAAATTTTTACTACCTCCTCCGCTTCTTTTTCTTCCCATTCTCCACTAAAAAAATGAAACTGGTGGGCTTTTGTAACCACTTTACGATCTCCTATCCCTCCTCCTCATTCCATTGTTTTCTTTTCCTCATTTTCCAAAGAACTACTGTACAAGAAAAAAAAGCTATTGCGAAATTAATCATTTTTCCTCAAAAAAAAGTTGAAAAAAAGCCAAAAAAAGAGAGGCAGAATCAGATGAATTTGGGATGAATTTGGTGGTCCGTGTTTGTCAAAAAAAAGCTAAAGAAGAGAGAAAAATGGAGAAGAAAAAAAAGGATGGTTAAATTGATTAGAATTGACAAAAAATAGGAGAGAGGGAAAAACAGAAACAAAAAACCAAAGCAATTCACGAAGGGATTAAAATTGGTTTAGTGAGAGGTCGACACCAATTTTTGGTGCGTCTGTCTGTGTATCGGTATGTCCAATGAAATACAATGAATGTCCACAGGAAATGAGTAAAAGGAGGAATGGGTGATAGAGGAAAAAACAGAACAAGTTTCGATTTCATGGACATCGTAAAAGGTGGAATATGAAGGAGAAAAAGAAGAAGAAGAAGAAGAAGACCTCAGGAAGAAGAGGGAGAGGAAAATATTTGACAAGATAGGAAAGGAAAAGGAAATCTAGGAAGTTTGGAATCCCAAAATTTGTAAATTTCAGGTTTTCAGAATGAAGATAAGATTCCATTTCTTTCATGATTCTGGAACCCTAGTTTTCAGAATTCCCCGAATTCTGTATTTGCTTTAATCCAAGCCAGCCCTATAAGTACACTTTGAACTCAATTATCTCGGTTTATTTGAGAGATATCAAAAAATGGGTAACTAATAAAACATTGGTGATACTATGATACACATTTTATCAGTTGACAAAATTTTGATATCTTTTGAAGGAACCGAGATAATTGAGCTCAAAGTATACATACAAGGTTTGCTTCTAAAAAGTTCTGCTACTTCTAGACCCCCCCCTTTTTTTATCAAAAAGTACAAAAGAAGTTTCAGGAGTAAACCACACTTATTCAGAAACGGAACTTGATACCCCTCTCCCAACAATACAAAAAAGCGGTAAACTTTTTTGATTAAAAAGTACAATGAGTAATACTTTCTGTCATCCTCAAGAAGGAGAAGAAGTAGGTCAAAATGCATTGTTAAAAATGGTGAAATTTGGAAATTTTGATTTTAAGACTTCTGTCAACGTTGAGCTTATCTTAGTTCCTATAAAAGATATCAAAATATTGTCAACTAAAAAAATATAGCTTATTTTATCTATTACACGAAATGAGAGATATGTGTTCAAAGCAGGTAAACCTCGACATTTGAAATTCCAGAAACTTTTATAAAATTTACTCTGAAATTTAAAAAAAAATCAGGTTTTAAAAATGGACCAAAGGAAAAACATGTGCTGAAGGAGAAATCATAATTTTCTAAGAAAAATGATGAGTCGAGGAGAGGTATAGAGAACAAACAAAAAGGGAGGTAAACTGTAAGAAAAATGAAAAATAAAGGGAAAATCGAAGAGAGACAGGTAGACATTTTTGGGGAGGGGGAACAAGTAGCATCTTTTCTATTTTTTGTGTGTTTTTGAAAAGAAAAAATCAATTGAGGTTAGAGTAGTGACCTCGAGAGTTATTTGAAATGTTGAATTTTTTTATTGCGGTTTTTTTTCTGTTGTCGATTTTTGATTTTTTTTTCTCTTGCGATATTTTTCGTTTTCTTTTTTTGGTCCTTCTAGAAATCTCAGAAAGTGCTAAAATATTTTTTCAAGTTTCATTTAGATTTCCATTTATTTTGAATCTACTGAATGAATCCTTTTTGTTTTTTCGATCCCGAGAATCTCAGGATTAGGAACTTTAGGATCTCAGAATTCTTAGTTTTCTTATCTCTTGAAATCTTAGTTTTGAAATTTCCCTGAAATTTCGCAATTTGAAAATTCAAGGTAACCAGAATCTCAGAATCACAGAATTTCAGAAGTCCGGACTTCAGAGCTCGCAGTTTCAGAATTTCAGAATTTCTGTATTTCTGGAATCTTGAAATCCTGGAATCTTGGGATCCGGGAATCCTGGAATACTGTAATCCTAAGATCCTGGAATCCTGAAATTCTGGAATCCTGAAATTCTGAAATCCTGCAATCCTGAAATCCTGGAATCTTAGATCCCTAGAATTTCTGAATCTTGGAATTTTAGAATTTCAGAATTTCCGAATTTCGGAATTCTAGAATTCTGAAATAGGTGGTTTAGAAAGGTTTTTCATAATCTCAAAACTCTCTCAAAACAGAAAAGCTTCAACTGTTTCGAAAAACTACAAAAAAAACAGTTCTAAGCTTTCATAATCACCATTTTCCATCTTCTAATTTTTCTCACTTTTCCATTCACAAAAAAACTGTCCGAAAATGAAAAAAACGTTCAAAAGAGGCCCGAAATGAGTCAGAAGGTGTCCAGTTACAAGCGAAAACAAATAAGGATACTTTAAAAGTTTAAAAGGTCTAGAAATTGAATTTGTCAGACACGGTTTTTGACTGAAAATGGTAGTCTCGGGGTACTACTGGGAGACCATAGAAATTGAGAATTAATTAGAATAGAAAAGAAAGAAGGAGGAGGAAGAATGAAAGAATAAATAAGATAGGCTTCTATTGTTGGTGGTTCTTTTGTAAAGGAAACGGACAACCGAATCGAAAAATGGGAAAATGGTTTTTTTTTGGGAAAAGAAGAAGAAAAGGAGAACTGTTTCAGATGACAAAAAGATTAGAAATTTCCAAACGTTGACCTCTTTGAGAATCGGTGAAACCTGTAATAGAAGGGCCCCGCACTGTTAAGTTTGAATTCATTTATCTCGGTTTCCATAAAAGATATCAAAAATGTGTCAACTGATAAAATCTTTGTGACATTATGATAAAAAATTTATCAGTTGACAGCTTCCTGAAATCTTTTACAGGAGCTGAGATAAATTGGCTCAAAGTTAAGCATGGAGCATTTCTGTTACAGGTTTTTGGGTGTCGGAAAGTCAGGAAATTCAGGGTTTCTGGATATCAAAAAATTATATGATTATTTTTGAATTCTATAATTTGAAATCATAAATTTCGAACTTGTGGTCTCTGAATTGCAGAATTCCTACACACTTCAATCATGGAGTAAATTTGAAAATCTCAAAATTCATAGTTACAAGAATCTCAGAATTCCAGAATTCTGGAATTCCTTTGTTCAAGAATCCCAAAATCGTTGAATTTGAAAATCAAAAACTCCTTCAGAATTCGAAAAATTTGAAGTCTTTCAATTTCAGTTCAAAAATTTTAGCCTGGATGAAAATCAATAAATCCTGAAATTTAAGAATCCGGGGGTCCTACTTCCTTGAATCTCGAACTCCTAGAATTCCCAAGTTTCAGAATTTCAGAATTTCAGAATCTAAGAATCTCATAATTTCAGAATCTCAGAATCTCAGAATCTCAGAATCTCAGAATCTCAGGATCTCCGGATCTCAGGATCTCAGGATCGCAGAATCTCAGAATCACAGAATCTCAGAATCTCAGAATCTCAAAATCTCAGAATCTCAGAATCTAAATTTTTTGAGTTGCAAAATTCTCCAAATCTTAAAAGCTTCAATTATTAACTGCTTATAATTCCAGAATCCGAGAATTTAAAAATAGCAAAAATAAAAATTGCTCGATATGAAAAATTCAAACATTTTGAAGATTTTCAATAACTAGCGAATCAAAAAAAAAGACCAGGCGACCCTAAAAAAAGATAGAACAATAGTGAAATGAATATCCCAAATATCCAATAAGAAGATATCGATGCTCAAAGAAAACACGAAGAAAATTGCTCAGCTCGTTTGCACAATATTTGCTTAAATGTTGTTGAAACAACACAGTGCCCTTCTTCTCGCGCACTCATTCAAACTAAAACAATTGGGAAAAGATGATGATACGTACATATGATCTTGAGTACTTTTCAAACAACACGGAGTCATGCCGTTTGGAAACTGGCTTTTCGAAAAGGAGCCATTGCGCAATTTCGAAACGATGATCCCCTATTAGCCAGACAAAGTTACAGTATCAAAAAGAAAAAAGCGCGAAAAGAATTTGAACAAACATTGAAAAACTGCATTAGCACAGGAGAACAATCAGTGATTAGAGAAGAATGAGGAGAAGAGACAATTAAAATGAAAAATTGCGATTCTTCTTTCCTAGATAGATGAATTGCGAGATAAGGAAATTGCGGATGGATAGAAAAAGACGGATAGCTGATTCCGAAAAGGGCGGGATCTCAACAGTTGGATGATGAGAAGTAGGAGATGATGACGAAGCGCAAACTAATATGAATATGGCGGGAAAATTAGATGATACTCAGGAATGAAATCAAGAAAGGGAGGAAGAAGAAGAAGAAGAAGGAGACGTTATGCAATCTGGAATTCGTCCGATGATGATGGCTTTGAGAAAACAGACTCCTCGGATGATTTGCAGGACAAACAGACACACAGAATTTCCCAGAATCGTGGAACTTCGGAATCCTAAAATCTCAGAACCTCAGAACCTCAGAGTCTCAGAATCTAAAAGTTTCAGAGTCTCAGAATCCCAGTATCTCAGAATCACAGAATCTCAAAATCTAAAATTTTTGAATTGCAAAATTCTCCAAATCTCAGAATCTCAGAATCTCAGAATCTCAGAATCTCAGAATCTCAGAATCTCAGAATCTCAGAATCTCAGAATCTCAGAATCTCAGAATCTCAGAATTTCAGGATCTCAGTATCTCAGAATATCGAAATTTCAGAATCTCAGAACCTCAGAGTCTCAGAATCTCAGAGTTTCAGAGTCTCAGAATCTCAGAATCTCAGAATCACAGAATCTCAGAATCTCAGGATCTCAGGATCGCAGAATCTCAGAATCTTAGAATCTCAGAATCTCAGAATCACAGAATCTCAGAATCTCAGAATCTCAGAATCTCAGAATCTCAGAATCTCAGAATCTCAGAATCTCAGAATCTCAGAATCTCAGAATCTCAGAATCTCAGAATCTCAGAATCTCAGAATCTCAGAATCTCAGAATCTCAGAATCTCAGAATCTCAGAATCTCAGAATCTTAGAATCTTAGAATCTCAGAATCTCAGAATCTCAGAATCTCAGAATCTCAGAATTTCAGAATCTCAGAATCTCAGAATCTCAGAATCTCAGAATCTCAGAATCTCAGAATCTCAGAATCTCAGAATCTCAGAATCTCAGAATCTCAGAATCTCAGAATCTCAGAATCTCAGAATTTCAGAATCTCAGAATCTCAGAATCTCAGAATCTCAGAATCTCAGAATCTCAGAATCTCAGAATCTCAGAATCTCAGAATCTCAGAATCTCAGAATCACAGAATCTCAGAATCTTAGAATCTCAGAATCTTAGAATCTCAGAATCTCAGAG